TATGTAATACGTTTACACAAAGTTTCCTTCCCAGAATATGCCTGTTCGCAGCTAAAGTGTTCGCGCGTGACCGCCAAACGGTAATTTTCTGTTTTATTAAAAACATGAACGGTATTAAAAAACATGGACGGATTTTGAAAGAATTAAAGTGAGTTTTGACTGTGTTAATATACTGGATTTCCTGCATTTAGCAGAATTTTGTATTGCATTTTACGAAAAAACCCAAAAAAAAACCCGCCCGGCCGACCAAGAAAAATTAAAATGGGTGGACGCCAAACAAGTAATTTTTTTTATGTGGCCTTAATACTAGAGTTTAGATGTTAATTACCAGGTAAATCTGACAATTTTAATAAAAATTTTGAAGGAAAAATGGAAGGATATGTAGAGATTTTTGGAAGGAAATTTTGTAGAAAAAAAGGAAATTTTGGGTTATGGAGAAGGAAATTATTTTTTGGGGAGTGGAAACACTGCTTGGAACAACCTGTGCGTTTTTAGCCGTGTATGACGTGTACACGCGTAAAAATCATCATGTTGATGCAAGTTGTTCAGAACAGGAGCGAACAATGTTGTGCTGCACCCCGTGAACAATATTGTTAACAAGTTGTTGAACCATCAACATTGTTGCAACTTGTTGACAATCATGTTAACAACTTGCAACAGTACTGATGGTTGAACAACTTGTTAACAATATTGTTCACGGGGTGCAGCACAACATTGTTCACTCCTGTTTGAACAACGCCGAACAACCTGATCAATTTTTACCCGTGTATGTAGTGTCTGTTTTCACGTTCAGAAATTACTTCATGTAACCAAGTTTGTTCTGGCTCGAACAACATGGCCGCTCAAATTTTCAGAAAAATCATATATACCGAGATATACACAAAGTTCCAAAACTAGCTTTTTCTCAGCTCATGTTTTTCTTTTTGCAATTGTCAAGGGCTTTAAAAATGGAGTAAACGTAAGGGGTTAAGCATACTTGGACCAGTGCTGTAAGTGTTTGCACTATTTCCTCTCTTGATGGATGCGATGGTGTATTAAAAAGGCAAACAGTATCAAATGCTTATGTGAAGTCACAAACTTTGCTACGCTAGTGAAGTCTGGTCCCCTCACCATTGTTCCCAGAAGATCAAACTGGAACAAGTGCAAAGGCGTGCCACTAGATCAGAGTAGTAGTTTTAGTAGTCTCGCCTCATTTAGGTTTCTATAATCAAACTTTATAACATACTTTTACGTTCCGTTTTTGATGTGGACTTGACCTGTACTGGCACCCAATAAAGTGCTAGAAAGCAAAGTGAGGCAAACGTTGTGCACATTTTTAAATGTTTTTTAACACAATTTTAAAAATAGGCCCTACAGTCATTTTTTAGTCGAAAAGCCACCCGAAGTAATTGTTTACATTTTTTGTTATTGTCGCTACTTGACATGCACACTACGGCATGCATGCGTTTTCCGGTGTACAGAAGTACTCATGGACACTACATGTAAGATACAGCCAAACGAATCTCTGTGGAGTCTCCTACTTAAGGTGGCTTTTCGTCTAAAAAGTGACTGTAGGGCCCCTTTAGGTGACTACGTAATATATAATAAATGGAGAAGTGTTTATTACAGGCATATAAAACACCAAAAAGTGTGTGTGAAAAACAAGGCACAAGCAGAGTTTTTTTTACACACACTTTGATGGAACTTTTGCGAGAATATGTCATGAAAGGACAAAGATTACTTTTTTGGTAACTTCTACAGTGTTCTGGGAATTCAACCCGGAAACGAACAAGTACTGTGTTTTGCAATTTTCAAGACTATAGATCAGCGACTGTATAGATCAGGTAGTTTAATTGTCTGGTATTATATACCAGTTAGGAAATTTTAATTTATCATTTCAGCAAACTTGAGTCGCTCCAAAAAAAGTCAACCCTATCCCCAAGGTGGAAATTTCTGCTATCCAGAGGGGGAGGGGGAAAAGGGTTATTTCTGATTTGTAAATGTACTAGGATATTCAAAGAGGTTTTAATTTAATTTTCTGCATGCGGGAGGTATGGACATAGGCGTACGGGGCCGCTAAATTCTGGGGGGGCGGTAGCTTTTTTGCCCAAAAAATTCCACATTGCCCAAAACATTTCGGGATTCTGCCCGACTAGCACCAAAAATTTTTTTCCGGAAAAATTATTTTGGCGA